CACGAACCCGTGTCCCCTGCATCGGCAGGCGGACTCTCAACCACTGCACCACCAGGGAAGCCCCCTTGGCATTTTTATAAAATTTTAGGAGCAGCTTGTCAATTTCTGTAAAAACGGCTTCTTGGGTTTTAACAGAAATTGTGTAGAATCTATAAATTAGTTTGGGTAGAGTTGCATCATAACAGTATCCAACCTTGCAGTCCCCGAGAAGGGGGTTTTACAGTGTTTTACAGTGTTCAGTGGGCAAGTCCTGCACTTCTTTTGTTAAATTTATTCCAAAATGTTCTCTTTTTTTTTATGAGTACTTTTATCTAAGCATATTTTTTAATTTTATTGAAGTACAGTTGATTTACAATGTTGTGTTAATTTCTGCTTTACAGCAAAATGAGTCAGTTGTACATATATATATTCTTTTTCATATTCTTTCCATTATGGTTTATCCCAGGATATTGAATATAGCTCCCTGTGCTATGCAGTAGGACCTTGTTGTTTATCCATCCTATACATAGTAGTTTGTGCCTGCTAACCCCAAACTCCCAATCCACCCCTCCCCCACCACTGAATGTTCTCTTTGATGCTCTCGTGATAGGAATTGTTGTGTGAATTTAATTTTCAAGTTCCCTTTGGTAGTTTATAGAAACACTGCTGGTTATTATATGGACCTTTTAAATTGTGGCCTTGAACTCATTAACTAGACTAGTAGGGGTGTATGTGTGTATTTAGAATTTCCTACCTACAGAATCATGCAATATGCAAAAAAAAAAAAAAAAAAGACAGAGACGGTTTTACTTCTTCCTTCCCTTTTATTTCTTTTTCTTGCCTGATTTTGTTGCTTGAATCTCCAGTACAATGTCGAACAGATGAGGTGAGAGCAGGTCCTCCCAATCTTGGGAATAAAACATTACATGTTTCAGCAGTAGGTGTGCTAATAGCTGTAGGCTTTTTGTAGATGTCCTTTATCTGTTTGGGTTTTTATCATGAAAAGGTGTTGGGTTTTGTCAAATGCTTTTTCTCTGTCAGACAACTGTGTGGTTTTTGTCCCTTATTCTGTGAACCTGGCATATCACCTTGATTTTCAGATGTTAAGTCAACCTTGCGTTCCTGAGGTATAACCCACTAGATCATGTTCTGTGAACCTGGCGTATCACCTTGATTTTCAGATGTTAAGTCAACCTTGCGTTCCTGAGGTATAACCCACTAGACCATGTTCTGTGAACCTGGCGTATCACCTTGATTTTCAGATGTTAAGTCAACCTTGCGCTCCTGAGGTATAACCCACTAGACCATGTTGTACAGTCACTCCTTCAGGTTGCTGGGTCCAGTTTGCTAGTTTGTGTCTGTATTAGTGAGGGATATTGAACATAGCTTTCCCTCCCTCCCTTTCTTCCCTTTCTTTCTTTCCTTCTTTCATTCTTTCTTTTTTTAGATTATTAGCCCCATTTTATTTTATTTTTTTGGCCATGCCACACGGCTTGTGGGATCTTAGTTCCATGACCAGGGATCGAACCCATGCCCCCTGCAGTAGAAGCATGGGGTTCTAACCTCTGGGCCTTCAGTGAATTCCCAAACACAGCTTTCTTTTCTGGTGATGACTTTGTCCTCATAGATGTGGAGAGAGCAAGGGCCCTCTCACGTCTCTCCTGATGGTGGGTGAAGCCTTCAGACTGCCCGGAATATGTGGGGTCTTATCAGAACCAACTAGGGTATCTCACTTTCTGGCCCATCTCCCTATGTGTATCTCACCCTGGAGCTGGCTCCAAAGTTGGAGGCCAACTTTGGAGGCCCCTTGGTCTGCCTCGGAGATCACTCCTGTTTTCAGCCCCCCTGGCAGGAAGCTGCTGCTTTCTAACCTCACCCAGTGTGGTACCTGGCTGATGGAGGGTGAGCATGGGAGCAGCCCAAGGTGAAAGGCCCCAGACGTCCTCTGTTCCAACCCACGGCTCAATAGTGTTTCTTAAATCAGTGCTTCTCGATTTAAGGTGTGCCTTCAGTCTGGTTCCAGTGTCCTGAAATGGGTGCTTTTGACAACTTTGCCTCATTTTACTGTTATTTTTGGAGGAGAGGATTTGTTTGCCAAGCTCTTCACTCCATGATTCTGGAAGTCTTGTGTCTGGTATTCAGTTTTATTTTTAATTATGGTAAAATACACATCACCCCCAAATCGCCATTTTAAAGTGAACAAATAAGTGGCATTCAAACATTCACAATGCTGCATTGACCATTATCACTATTTTCAAAACCTTTATCATCTCAAACAGATATTCTGTGCCCAACACACAGCAACTCCCATCCTGCCCTCCTGTCCACCCTCTGGTAACCTCTGTTCCACTTTAGTCTCTAGAATATGCCTGTTCTAAATACCTCATATAACTGGAATTGTCTGTTTGTCTTTTTGTGACTGGCTAATTTCACTGAGCATAATTTCCTCGAGGTTCGTCCATGTTGCAGTGTGTTGCAGAACTTCATTTCTTTTTATGGGTGAATAATACTCCATTGTATGGCTGGATCACATTTTGTTTATCCATTCTTCTATCCATGGACACTTGGGTTATTTTCACCTTTTGGCTGTTGTAAATAATGCTTCTTTGAACATTCATGTACAAGTAACTGTCTGAGTCCCTGCTTTCATAATTTTATTTTTATTTTTGGCTGCGTTGGGTCTTTGTTGCTGTGCACTGGTTTTCTCTAGTTGCTATGAGTGGTGGCTGCTTTTCGTTGCGGTGCGTGGGCTTCTCATTGCGGTGGCTTCTCTTGTAGAGCACCGGTTCTAGGGGCGTGGGCTTCAGTTATTGCAGCACATGGGCTCAGTAGTTGCGGCACGCAGGCCCCAGAGCATTTGGGCTTCGGTAGTTGCATCACGTAGGCTCAGTACTTGTGGCGCACAGGCTGTAGGGCACGCGGGCTCAGTAGTTGTGGCACACAGGCTTAGTTGCTCCGAGGCATGTGGGATCTTCCCGGACCAGGGATTGAACTCGTGTCCCCTGCATTGGCATGCGGATTCTTAACCACTGCGCTACCAGGGAGGTCCCCTCATGGTTTTGATCTGCATTTCCCTTATTACTAGTGATGTTGAGCATCTTTTCATGTGTTTATGGACTATTTGTATATCTTCTTAGGAGAAACATCTATTCAAGTCTTTTGCCCATTTTTGAATTGGATTGTTTTTGTTGTGGGGTTGTAGGAGTTCTTTGTATATTCTGGATATTAACCCCTTACCAGAGGTATGGTTTGCAAATATTTTCTCCCCTCCTGTGGTCTGTCTTTTCACTCCCTCGATGGTGTCCTTTGATGAAGTACAATTTACTTATTTTTTTCTTTTCCTGCCTGTGCTTTTGGTGTCATATCCAAGAAATCATTGCCAAAACCAACCCCTGTGTTTTCTTCTAAGAGTTTTACAGCTTCAGCTGTTAAGTTTAGGTCTTTGATCCATTTTGAATCCGTTTTTGTATATGGAGTGGGGTAAGGGCCTCATTTCGTTCCTTTGCTGTTTGATTTGAAAGCATGTAGTTTATCATTTGAGTCCTTGAATGAAGGAAGAGGTAGCCCCTGTGAGTGTGGACATGTGGACTCCAGACCCCAGTCTGATTAGGGAGGGACTCGGCCCTGAGCAGAAGGTGTGCAGAACGTCCATTTGTGATGCCCAGGTGTCCTTAACAACTAACACCCAAGTGATGAAGAATTGCTGCTGCTCTGAAGGGGTGTGGGGCTGCCAGCCCACGAGCAAGCAGCGCTTCCCTGTGGTCGCTCCGCGGGCAGCTGCACCTGGCACTCAGCCCCACGGCGCCCAGAGTGGGGCGCGTCAGGCCTGGCCTGGGAAAGTAGCCGGTGGTTTCCTTTTCAGTCACCTATGACTTTCTGGCCACAGAAGACGTGAACAAGGACAGGATCCAGGATGTTCTCTTTCTTTATAAAAACACCAACAGCAGCAGAAGCAATTTCAGCCTCTCTTGTGCTGATGAAGGTAATTTTGTTTTTACCCAAAAAATGAGGAGCTCCCTGCAGGAGGAGGAATCCCCTCGCCCTCTCGGTTTTGGGGGAAGCAGTTGGTGGTATTTCTGGGAACTTTCATGTCACTCACCTTCCTCGCTGGGCTGCTGACCCCGTGGGGTCAACACCAGGGATCCAGGGACAGAGCCCAGGGCAGGGCCACAGCACGAGGCCGGCACACTCAGCCCTGCAGACCTGGGTCTCTCCCTCCAGGCTTTTCCTCCCCCTGCACCTTCGTGGCCGCTGTGTCGGGGGCCAATGGTACCGTCCTCTGGGAGAGGCCTGTGGCCCAGAACAGGGCCCTCGTGGAGTGCGGTGTCCCCCAGCCGAGGGGCAGCGGGGCGTCTTCTGCCTGCATCATCCTCGGCAGACCTGGCCCTTTCATTGCGGTAGACTCGGTCACAGGTAGGCTGCTTCCCGTGGGTCCCCCAGGCCTCCGCACACGTGTCTGATGCCAGGATGCTCTGCTTCCCATGGGTCCCCCAGGCCTCCGCACACGTGTCCGATGCCAGGATGCTCTGCTTCCCGTGGGTCCCCCAGGCCTCCGCACACGTGTCCGATGCCAGGATGCTCTGAGGAGGGTCAGCCCGGGCTCTTGTGGATGGTGTGGCTGGATAGGAAGGAAGGCACGGGTGGGAGGGGGACGCCCCATGAGGAGTCACATTTCACTGTCGTCCCCTCCTAAGTCCTGCCTGTGCCTGCAGCATGGCACCTGGAGGGGGTGGGGGCATTGCTGACGCCCGCTCATTGGGCAGGCCCTGGGGATGGGGTGTGTGGGCCTGGCTAGCTCGAGCCCTGAGACCTGCCTTAAGGCAATAGGCCCTGGTCCTTTTCCAAAGCCCTAAGGAATTCTGTGCCTTGATGCTAGGTTTGGGGGTAGCAGCACTTCCTTTGTAAGTTGTGGCTTTAAGAGTAGGGAGAAAAATAAAGAGCAAGCTGGAAATATTTTAAGAAGAGAAGAATCCGACTAAAAACGGGTGTGGGCAGATTGTACTTGGGTCATATGCTGTCAGGTCAGGACCTTCAGTCCCCGGGTCCATCCACAAGGCTGCACTTTCATTCTCGTCCTGTGCACGGGGCAGAGGCTGCATGTGTGACCCCAGTGGGTGCCAGGGAGGCCAGGCCCTGCCCATCTGAGTGGGAGGATCTGTGTCAGCCAAACACTGGAAACAGGATGAGAAGAAAGGAGGGGGCCGTGCTGCCCCAAAGTGATGCTGCTGACATGTGCCTATGGGCACCAGGCGGCTACACACGCATGTCTGTTTCCATGGCAGCACACGTGCCCTGTGCTTGGTTTTAGGGGAGACCCTGTGGAGCCATCCAAGCAGCTTCGGGGGGAACGTGTCCGTCCTGAGCCCTCTGCTCCAGGTGCCTGACATCGATGCTGATGGGGTCCCAGACCTGCTGGTCCTCACCCAGGAGGAGAACCAGGTACAGCCCTCGTTCCAGCCACTGGCCTCCCCCGCTGCTCCGAGCTCGGGTGCCTGCAGACCCAGCGGGCACTTCTGGGCCCCCCAGAGTGGCAGAGAGTTCTCTTCCCACCGGTGCCATGGGCGCTGCTCTGAGGATGGTGCGGGCGGCCCCACGTCTCCCGGCATCAGACACTATAGGTTCGACCCAGCGGGTGGGCCTGCTCCCCTTCTCCGTGTGCTGCAGGTCAACGGCTACGTCTATTCAGGCGGCACTGGGCAGCAAGTCGGCCCCCCGGGCAGCCTGGGTGTGGACGGGACCAGCGGCTCCATCCTCTATGTCACCAGTGCAGGTGCCCACTACATCCTCATCCCCTGCGGTACGTGGCATCCTTTGCCCCAGGGCGGCCTCCCTCGTGGGCCTGCTGGCACCTGGGAGGAAGCAGGTGTGGGGGCTAGTGGTTCCCGCTGTTGTTCCAGGGACTCGAAGCCATCGCCCGCTGACAGGTGACGCAAGGCTTTTCTTTGTTCACAGGCATCTCCCTCTGCAGCCACTCAGTGAAGGGCCTGTATGAGAAGGCCACCGGGAGGGACAGCTCGCTCAAGAGCGACCCCCTCTGGGAGGGCAGGCTCAACGCCACCTCCCACAGGCTGCAGGAGCACAGGTCAGGGGTGTGGGGGCCTGTGCGCAGGGCCCCGGGCGCGACGAGGAGCCGTAGGGCGGGCACAGGGCCCTTACTTTGTGTAAGGTGTCTGAGGTCGTCCCGGGCTCAGACTCAGTAAACTGGCAAACAGAAGACGAATAAAAACGGGGAAGGAGATGCCCCCCCTCCCCGGGCTCACTGGTCCCTGCATCCGGTGAGGGCCTTCCTTTTAGTTTGAAACTGGAAAAGTAAGAAAGATGAGGCTGAGCCCTGGGAGCCTGAGGGAAACAGCCCGGCAGGCATCGCTGGGGAGGGTCCCGTCCCCAACCCTACCCGGGGCCCTATCCCGTCCCTCCTGCCCGTGTAGCTCGGGAGCTGTCCGCTACCTGATGAACGTTCCGGGGAAGGTGGGTGAGGACCTGCTTCTCGTGAGTTCCGAGGCCTGCGTGCTGCTGGACGGGCAGGAGCTGGTGCCCAGGTGGACCCTCGGTGCAGCCCAGATCCTGAGGTATGGGGTCCTTCTCCAGGGAGCTGTGTACCCCAGCGTGTCCCCCCACCCCCACCCCTGGCGGCCCTGGGGACAAGGCCCGTATGCTTCTGCCAGAGGCCATTGCCTGTCACCTGGTGCCACCCTGCCCTTGGGGAGGAGAGACCCCCTGGCGTCAAAGCTCTGGCCCGTGCAGGGGCAGCCGCAGCCTATCCCAGGCATCTCCTTCAGAGGCCCGTGTGAGCCTCCTCTCCACTCTCCTTCCAGAAAACCCATCCTCGGCTACTACAAACCCGACACCCCAGCCATGGTCATTGAGAACGGGACCGGCTCCGAGAGACAGGTTGCGGCACTTGCTCCTGGGTCTCACCTTTGCCCGTAGCTGAGGGAAGCTGGTCTGAGCCGTAGGCCGAGCGGGGACCAGAGGCTTCGGTGAGCCACCCTCTGGGACGCAACCCTGCGCTGCCCCTCCCTCTGCAGATCCTACTCCTGGACCTCAGCTCCGGGGCTGTCCTGTGGAGCCAGGCTCTCCCAGGCCTCCCCAGAGACCCGCGGTCCGCCAGCCTTCCCACCGCAGACCGCCGCTCCGCCTTCTTCTTCTGGGGCCTCCACGAGCTGGCTGGTGCCAACCAGACGGTACAGTCTTGGGTCCTGGTTTGTGGCATGGGGTGGAGCCGGTGGCTGGGTGAGTGCAGATAGATAGAAGCCATGCAGGGTGGGCAGGAAAAGGGGGTCTGGGCTTTCTGGGAGGAAGTGGGTGCGAGGGGTGGCAGCTGGCAGACAACCGAGAAGGGTCAGAGTCAGGTGGGGAAGGGGGGCGGGAGGTGGGTGTTTTGAGGGACGCCGGCGGACACAGCTCTGGGTGTGGTCCCAGTCAGGAGCGTCCGGGAGGGTCAGCCTCATGCCCCCGCTGCACTCCCTGCAGGAGCCTCGAGCCGCCGGGCACCGCCTGTACATGTTCCACCCCACGCAGCCCGGAGTCCTGCTGGAACTGGCCAACATCTCCACCCCTATTGTCACCTTCCAGGGTGAGTGTGCCCCGCATGGGCCCGGGCTGCCAGCCACGGGAGGCCTGTGCTGGCTGGTCCCGGGACCTGATGGCCACGTCCCCACAGTGGTTCTGCTTGAGCCGAGCCGCCACGCTGCCTACATTCTCCTGACGGGCCCAGCCAGCCCGGATCCACCCGGCCTGGTCTCCGTGGCCAAACACAAGGTGCGGGACCTCATCCCGAGCAGCAAGGTAGTCCGCCTGGCTGAGGGTGGCCCCGACAGCGACCAGGCTGTCAGGGACCGGTTCTCTCGCCTGCGGTACCGGAACGAGGCCTAGACGTGGTTTGGCCAGAGCCTGAAGCAGAGGCGGCTGCTGGAGTTCCATATCCTGGGAAGTCAGCCCTTCACTGGCTCGGTCTGCACGCCGACTCCTGACCTGGTGACCTGGCGACGCTCTCCACTGGGCCCGTTACCCCAGGGACACGCCAGGGCCTCTCCCCTCTCCCACCAGCATTCCAGGTCCTCACTCAGGTCCCCACTCCGAGCCCCACCCAGGTCTCCCTGTGCAGAGCCCATGCTGGCAGCAGCTCACCCTCACTCCTCCATACCTGGCCAGAGCCTTGGCTGCAGAATCCCCTCCCTCTTTCCGTCTGAGCCTTGCCTTCTCTGCACTGTCTCCCTGGGGTCGTGGAGCTCAGAGGGTGGTGGGCCCTGGTGGCTTGTGGTTGGTGGTAACTCACCCTGGAGAGCCCATGACAGGGCCCACGAGGAATGGGTCCTGGGAGGGTGTGACAGATGGGCTGCCTTGAGCTGTGAGTATCCCGAGGACCTGGCCCCAGGATGTGCCCTGGGGTCAGCGTGCACCCCTGGGTACACACTGGAGCTCCTTGTCCCTCAGGGATCCCTGCACCCCTGGGTGTGGCCAGCGGCCCCTCCTTCCTGGTGCTTGGACACCCCCCCCCCCCC